GGTGCTGAGTCCAGAAGAAGTGCCGATCTGCTGGAATGTTGCAGCATCTCCAGGGACTTGTGATTTACATTCAGATGCTTGGCAACTGATTCATATTTATGATGGTCACAGTGTCCCAGGGTCATGTGAAGTGACCAAAATCTGCTGCAACCACCCAGCAGATGGGGGGAATAAAAACCAAACACCCCCCACCCTTACCCCCGCTGCCAATCCTCAACAGAAATGCTCACAACAATGAAAACCTCGGACAGGAGGAAGAGCGCCGCCGGGTGGGCAGGCAGGTGTCTTGCTCGGCTGTGGCTTGGGGGGCACTTTTTCAGTGCCATTGTAACTTCTAACAGTCACTAAGCAAACTGTTGTAAGTCGAGGGCTGCCTGTACTTCATCACTTTTTTCCTTTTTTGGGAGATCAAGTTTTTGACATCTTGCTAGGCGACTGGTGGTACTCGGATACTGCCATATCCTAAAAGTGGTACAATGGGTGAAAAGGTTGAAAAGCCCTGTATTAGATGAATATTTTTTTCCAATTTGAAGGCGTATTTCTGTTGGCATCTGTCTGTGCAATAATTTCTAACCAAATTTAGGTGCATTCCTAGTTCTTAAAATGTGCTTCTCCCAGTATTATTCATTCCATTCCATCCATTACCCATGGTAATAACCAGGATATTACAGGTAGGCCTCATTAACTGACCATAATTGGAACAGGCAATTCTGTCACTAAGCACCCTGGTTGCTAAGTGAAAATCATGTGACTGCACTGGACCTATGACATCACTTCTGGTTCCATCACTGAAGAAAACACTGCGGTTGCTAAAGGAGACATCATGTGACTGCAACTTTCATTTCATTTCTGTGTTCTCTATTAATTCTGCTTGTTGGAAGGCGGACGTTAAACTCACCAGTGGCAATTGTGGCATTGTGGGATGTTGCACAATCATAAATGTAAGGGAGAAAAGCTTTTTTTCCCCAACTGTTGTACTTTTGAACTAAACAAGGCAGTTTGCACTATATCAATTATAGAAGGCTTTTCCAAAGGACATACAGCTGCTCTTCACACTTTCTACTTATATACAGCAAGTCTTCCTCTAGGCATTTGTAGGACAAATACTTCAGGACAGGGGTGTTAAACTGCCGGCCAACGGGCCAGATGTGTCATGCGGAAGCCGCGCCCACCTCATTGCCGGCAATGCCAAAACTCTCCTGATACATTGCGTGACATCATGTGATGTCACAGGTTTGACATGTCTGCTCCAGGATAAGACTGTCTTTTAGATTCCTTATTATTTATTAACTTAATTTTGATAAGCTGTGTATAAAAGTGTGCTATTTTTACCAATAAATGTCTATAGTGATTCTCAATCATTCAAGTCATAATTGTCGCAAAGATGCTTTTTCACAAGGCAACTGGACTTTCTTTGTTTTTTCTTTGAAGACGTTTTGCTTCTCATCCAAGAAGCTTCTTCAGCTCTGTCCGGATGGTGGGGAATGGAAGGATTTATACTCCTTGCAGACATCTGGTCTTTTACATTCTTTCAGAGAATTATTGAGGCCATTTGTAGGTTTATCTGTGTCCCCAGGGTCATCTGAGTCGTGCGAATGGGTGTGGAGCCTTCTTGGAACTGTTGAAAGGACTTATTGCAAACTGGGGATAAATGATGTAGTATCCCTATCCCTCTTCTTACCATTAATAATTTTATTTCAGGAGGTATTTATTATTCCTCCATAAAACTACAGGTAGCCCTTGACTTATGACAATTGAGCTCAAAATTTCTGTTGCTAAGTGAGACAGTTGTTAAGTGAATTTTGCCCCATTTTATGACCTGTCTTGCCACAGTTGTTAAGTGAAACACTGCAGTTGTTTAGTAACATGATTGTTCAGTGAATTTGGCTTCCTCATTGACTTTGCTTGTCAGGTCACAAAAGGTGATCACATGACCCTGGGACACTGCAACTGTCATAAATATGAGTGAATTGCCAAGCTTCAGAATTTTTGATCACATTACCATGGGGACGATGCAAGGTCATATGTATTTTTTTCAGTGCCATTGTAACTTTGAATAGTCACTAAATGAATGGTTGTAAGTTGAGTACTCCAGTTGCACTAGCATAAGAACAAGAGAGTAATATTAACAGCAACAATAATATCCTCTTGGATTAGTAATTGAGCAATAATTCATCCAGTTTTGCATGGTCAAAATTGTTCTAGCATACAAAATTTCCCACATACTAAGGCTTTGATTGTGATGCCAAATCATTTCCTGTTATAATCAAGATTAACTGTATCACTTATTTTTGCTTTGTTGACGTGATTAAAAATAGCTTCATAGTCGGTGGACAGTTGAGCAATGACATAAATTGATATCGTAAAATATCTTTATACTCATAAGAAACATAATGAATGTATGAATTGATAAAATACCTATATGCCTATAATAAACACAAAGGTTTATCTTCATTTATTCTAGATGCCTGGTATAATTTCCTCTCAGTTGTAAATAATAAACCACTAGCTAAATATTTTCCTTAGAGTCATATTTCATTCAGGCTAATTACACAAATATGCATGAGCTCACTGATACAATATCAAACCTTAATGTACTCTACATTGCATTCAATTAGACTTTTTTTCATGAAAACATAAAGATACTTCAAATCAATCTCAACTCCTGATGACTAAATGGACTTATCTATGCAGTTTTCCTGGCAACACTATAGATTTTGGATGATTTTGAAAAAACTTTGCCATTTCAGATTTGATTATTGCTTGATAATCCAGAACCCTAATTCATTAAATTAGATTGGAAAACTGAAAAAAAAAATATTAGAAAAGCAGTGGCAAACTACTTACATACTATTGCCAGGATAACAATATGGGTGTGTTTATTTTGAATATTTTAACTTTAATTATAAACATAATTGCTAGAAGTCGAGATGAATTTAAAGACTTTACTTTTTCGTCAGCAAATGGCAGCGTCTGGCTATAATCTCATTTTAGTTAGGAAGCAGTATCAGGCCTGGTTACCATTTGGATGGGAGAATGAATGCCATGTTTGAGGGATACCTCACACTACTTCCAGTGCAGAGAAGTAAAATGACCTCCAGAATGGTCTGGGAGAGATTTGACATTGTTGAGAGGGAACAGAACATTCTGAAATTCTCGAGTATCCCATACTTGAATTGCTGAATTTTGCCACCTTGACCTGTCTTAACAAAAACTCATTATACCCCCAATAAGATTCTAGTAATCTCTTTAATTCTCTTTATTTACTTCAACTGTTATCTTTCTCTTCTACTTCCTTATACCTTAAAAACATTGTTATTTATAGATTCTCATCTATCAACCATTCACATCTCACTGTATGAATTTCTGCCCACTAATAACCATCAACTTTACTTTGGTCCAGGACAAATTGATTGGTTGCTTTTGCAGATCTTAAAACTCTTTGCAACTATATTCATATCCATAATGTGAAGGTGGCTATCTTCTTTCTCTCAGTTCAATGTCCACCTCTGACAGTTGTATAATACCATGGGAAAAATTCTGTTCATTGGTGTCTTAAAACTCTCACTGTAACAGCCCTGCCAGGCAGATGAGATTAGGAATCAACTCCACAGGAAGGCTAACACTACCTTTATTGAGATTGCTAGTATCAGAAGTTGATCTTACCCATCTGGGGGCCCTCCTTCAGTGATCGTTGGTGTCTTCCAATTGAATCCAGGCATGGAATCCTGGCATGAGCCCCCAGATTGGTGTCCCCAATTCGGGTCTGAGCCTGGTGCTGAGGCCAATGAAGAACACCAGACATGAGGTGCAGGTTTTGTTGTTTTTTATTGAAAAATAAAAAAACTCCAAGCTCCAAGAAAAGGGATCCTGGCTAAAATGCCAAGGAACCAAGAAACACAGAATTCATAAAGTTTTATATATTTTCTCTGAAGTGGAAGATGGGATAAGGTGGGATATATAAGAAACATAATCTAATAAACATTTCAATAATAATCTAACAATTATTCTATTGGTCTCTAGCAGTCCCTATTCCTAAGCCTTGGCTAATGAATGCTTTAGGAGTTATCTAATACACATACTATTTGCTCCAGGCCATCTCTATTCCTAGTTTCTAGCTGAGCTTGCAAGATGCCTAAGTCTTTTGTTACTTTTATCAGCTTTTTGGCCACAGAGAATTGTTACAAGCTTTACACATCCATATTCCCTGTGAATAAGCATTCTTTGTTCTTGCCAGACAAACTCCCCAATTACAGGCTTTGTGGTCTCCTTTCAAGTGTATGCCATAATCTTGCTTTGTTTTGACAGACAGCCCATCACTTGCAATCTGGACTTGTAAGCCCAGGGTTTTTTTTTATAACGTCAGAATGGAGTTCCGGCACCTTTTTTGGATGGAACCTTGTAGAGTAGGCAAGGCCGGTTGTGTGAGGTGTGTGAGATCCTTTTTTTTTTTTTAAAAAAAAGCACTGTGTAAGCCTATCTAAAAATAAAACAGAAATCCATATTCTAAATGCCAATTTTAAAGTTATTAACTAGTTTCATTTAATGAAAACAATAGAAAAGAAGAAAACAATAGAGAACTTTGGCACAATCTGTTTACTAATAGATTTCAATAACGACAACTATGATTACATCATGATTGTCCATCTACATTGAGGGGAAGCAACGCATTTCATAAGTTGCAAGTATAGCAACATTAGGATTCAACTGCTGAGTAAGTAGTCCCTTCTAACTGTTATTCTACTCCATCCTGGCAGTAAAACTGCGATAAATCTCCCTACAAAGATCTTTTAACTGATTGCTTGCTTTCCACTTCAATCAATGGCCTTTATCATTTTTGCTCAGCATCGTCACGAAGCTTGGGATCTTTTTTCCCAGTTAAGATTTACCTTCGGAACCAGAAGATCGGCGCCGATGACCTACATACCGGGCACCTCAACGCCGAGAGCAGAGTCGCAAACTTTAGGAAAAAAAGGAAAAAGAGGCGGAGTTACAAAGCGTCGGTAGCCAATGGTCGACCGCTCTTCCTCCTTCCTGGGTCCTGCGGAGAGGCAAGATGGCTGCCTCCAGACCAAGCCGGTGTCTTTTTCTTGCAGCAGCAGCGCTGCTTATTTTCTTCAGCCGCTGCAGTTTGGCGATGGGTCGCGGAGTGCAGGTACGCCGCAAAAGGCAGGGGGGACGGCTGGCTGCCCGCCTTTATTTCTCCCGCGTGTCCCTTGCTTTTTTTTTTTTTCCCCTACCGTGAGTGGATTTTGAAATCCAGGACTTGAATTTCCGTTTTCGTGAGCCGGTCTTGGTTGCATTTTGCAAATACGTGTCGGGGGCTCAAGGACCACCGCCTAAAAATAAAACGGACAGGAGACTTTTAAAATCTAGTTATCTATTGCTTTGCAATTTAATGTGGTGTTGGAAAAAAAATCTGTCCGGAGTGCTCGGCTCCGGCGCTGGACTCTGCCTCCTCTCCTCTCCCCCCCCCCCATCTCCAGCAGTCATTGCAATCCTGGAGGGCGAGAGAAGAGGAGTGGGCAGGTGTGGCTTCTCATGGGGTCGCTCAGGTCGGATGCTCCATTGTCCCCTGATGGCCTTTGGCGCGGACCGTCCTTGCTCCTCTTCACCCAGGAAATTTCAAGGCACCTGGGATGATCTCAGCCACACCAGAAGCAGTTAGATGGTTAGCTTCCTTGGATATCGAATTATAATATGTATCCCATTGCAATTCTATAGCTCCATATTATGGTCATTTTATTTTGGTTTTATCTTAATTATACATCATCTCCCTATATTGTATCACCAACATATCTTATGTACAAAAGTACATGTATGCGTATAAACATACACATACATACATACATGCATACATACATATATATGCATATAGTCCTCAATTTATGACCACAATTGAGCCCAACATTTCTCTTGCTAAGTGAAACATTTAAGTGAATTTTGCCCCAATTTATATCCTTTCTTGCCACAAATGTTAAGTGAATCACTGCAGCTGTTGGCAACACAGTTGTTAAGTGAATTTAATTTCCCCATTGACTTTGTTTGTCAGAAGGTCGCAAAAGGTGATCACATAACCCTGGGACACTGCAACTCTCATAAATATGAGTGAATTGCCAAGCATCCAATATTTGATCACGTGATTATGGGGAACGCTGCAGTGGTCGTAAGTGTGAAAGATGGTCATAAGTTACTTTTTTCAGTGCTGTTGTAACTTTGAACGTTCATTAAATAAACTGTTGTGAGTCAAGAACTACCTGTATATACCTATTTTATGATGCTTTATTTAAACTAAATTTGTATATCAGTGATTGATTGCATGATCTCTGTAGATACTATTCGTTAAATAAAATAAATTTACCCAGTTGCTGCCTTTTGTGGAGCTTAGCCAGCAGTCCATCTAGTGGGCTGAGGGAAGTTCATGAAAAATGGCAGCTTGCTGGAGCATAACCCTGTGTTCTTTTCATGAGGAAAGAGAATGAAAAGTTCGGAGAGAAAAAGTTTAAAAAACAGTAATTGGACTTTGTAAAGGAACCACGTACTTATTTATTCATTTATTTGCATCCAGCCTGAGAAAGAGAGTGACCGGCCCAAAGTCATTCAGCTGGCTTTTTTAATTATAAAACTAAAGTGTATTATATACTTTCATGTTCATCAGCACATCACTATTTCAGATAGTCCTCGACTTACAATAATTCATTTAGGAGCCATTCAAAATTACAACAGTGACTCATGATCGTTCTTCACACTTATGACTGTTGCAGCATCCCCCTGGTCATGTGCTCAAATGCTTGACAACTGACTGATTTATGATGATTGTTAGTGTCCTGGCATCATGTGATCACCTTTTGCCACCTTCTGACCACTAAAATCAATGGGGAAGACAGATTCACTTAACAGTCATGTTTCTAACTTAATAACTGCAGTGATTCACTTAGCAACTGTGGCAAGAAAAATCGTAAAATGGGGCAATACTCAGTAACTGTCTTGCTTAACAACAGAAACTTTGGGCTCAATTGTGGTCATAAGTCGAAGACTATCAGTATACTGGTTTTTGCATTCCATGGAATTGAATTATCTAGGGCTTTTCTACTTTGTAGAAGTATATATCAGTTATAATCAGTTTTCACTCATATACATTATTGGCAATAATACAGGAAAAAAGGCCTCAGTGTGAATGGAGAAAAAGAAATATACCTCCTCCCCACATGTCTTCTCAAGGATATCCTAGGAGTCAGGAGCTCCTTCATCAGCATCAGCATTTATATTCAATTTTTCATTCAAATGCTCAAGGTGGCATACACAGTGCTATCCTCCTATTTGGCTTTGTTTTTTTAATAACAAGAAACCTTGAGGTGGGTTGCATTGAGAGAGACCTGACTGTCTCCAGTGAGCTTCCAAAGCTGAAAGTACTATATAGTAGAAGCTCCGTCTCACATTCCTCATCCAACATCTTTTAATCACTATTCCTCACTGACTCTTTGAGCATTCTCACTGTGGGAATCTGTCTACAACCCCAGAGGTAATGCTACAAAACTCTCTTTGCAGTGTTTTCTCTGTGGGAGTAGCGGAATAGGAATCAGATTATGCAGCACTTTGTATTCTAATGTAGAAAGATACTTTGGAATGAGCGGAGGTATAAATGTATACAATGAACCAAATGTGTTTTTTCTGGGATCATAGGGGTACCCATGCAATCCTGAGGAAAGCTTAAGCTGCTTTAAGAAGGTGTAAACAAGAATTGTTTTTAAATTCCAAATCACTACTTTGCCTTTAGTGCTGTAAAGCTCTAACCAGTAGGAGATTTGGTGGTGGCGGCGGCAGTTCTTGGGGCCCCCAAAATGGCCCATGTAACACCACTATTCCATGAGCTGGATTGGCTGCTGGTTTGCTTCTGGGTGCAGTTCATGGTGTTGGTAATTACCTTTAAATTCCTTCATGGTATGTGTCCAAGCCTCTTGCATGACTGTCTCATCCCACTGGGATTGGCCTCCTCCACCCACGTTGACAAAGAAGGCATGCTGCAGTCCCATCAGCCCAATTATTCCAGCTGGCAGGATCCAGGAGGATGGCCTTCTCTGCCATTCCTCTGCCCTGTGGAACATCTTGCCCCGCCTCTGGTGTGAGGTTCGCTCCAACTCTCCTGACCTTCTGGAAGAGCCTAAAGACCTGGCTCTGCCAGTTAGCTTGGAGCTTCAACGTGGGAGTATCACAGTGGAGATGGTTGATCAATTAACAACAGATCCCACCTTCCCCCCATCCTGTTCCCTTTTATTGGGCCATGAAGTTCTGGATTTTATACTAACTTATGCTCTTAGTTTATATAGTTTTAATGATTTTTATGAGGTAAGATGGGCAGCCTATACATTTTATAAATAAATAAAACAAACCCTTTGAAGTAGAAATTAATTAGGCGACTATCTGAAGCAAAACCCTGAGGTTAGGGGAATGCAGTGCCAGTTTCAGTTTTGTATATCTCTTGTGCATGGTTTCCATTTTTTTTTGTAGATTTCCCCCCCCCCCCAACCCCCTGCTCCCCAATGTCATTTTGCTCCTGGAGAGTTGTGCCAAATCTCAAAACTTTTGTTTCCCATTTTCTGTGTGTATGTGACAATGTAAGAAGAATGTTGATTCTGGATTTTTAAATGTAACCAACTTGTTCTGGATCTAATTCAAAAGTCATGCATTCATGCATTTTGTTTCCAATAGTAGCTGGCTGTATCTCTCTAGAAAGCCAACGGGGTCTTGGGATAATAGTATTTGTTGATCTTTTCAGTTGGAAGAGGGAGGGTTTGGTTGGCTTTCATGGTTGTAACCTTTAGCAGATTTATTTATTTATATTTGTTAAGGCTGTTTAATTGATTTATGTTTTCTTGAAATAATGATTTTAAAAAGAATAAACATGCACTTGATTTGTTTTATGTCACATCAATCAGTTTGTTTCAACAATTCCATTAACAAGGGTGGGAAGGGATTAAATACATAGATTACAGAACAAACCACACAATTACATAAAATAGTATTCATTAGAACGGTAGTTCCAATTTATTTGTCACACTGCTGTGATGATAATCCATTGCCCAAGCTCTGGAAATTGACAAAACAAAACCTGGCATTTTTTCAGGTCAACTAAATTAATGTTTCCCCCAAGAGTTGTATTTAGACATTTAAATTGGATGTCACAAAAAAATAGACCATAAAGCAAATTATGACTACACGGCCAGAGTTAGGAGTTATGTGGTATTTTCCCCAAATGACCTAGAATTGACATTGAACATCTGTTGAACATTAGAGAAATTTTAAGGCTGCGATTAAATACAAGCTTTAAATAATCCAAACTAGGTTTTTTTCCACTACATAGCAGGGAACAGTCTTTTTATTTTTAGTGGTGCTCAATCAGATTGAACAAAGATATTATCAACCCAATCTTTAAACATTTATGTGACTGAAAAAAACCTCAAGAATGAAAATTCAAACAAAAAGCCCATAATACTATGATAAACAGTATAAAATTTGAAAACAGAACGGATTTATTGTTGATTTAGTTCTTATTTGTTCTAAAGGGAAAAGATTGACTAATCTTGAATCAAACAGGGATAGAAAATTGAACTAATAATTCAATAAACTAATTGTGATAGTAAATCTATTTGAGATACTATGAGTTCCAGGCCATAAAATTGTTACTCTGGATTTTGGTATCTTAAGTGTAAGTATTTTTTTACTATCCAGATTCTGGCACCATGGGGAAAATATGAATTAAGTGTTCCATTTAACCATTGGCCAGCTTTCATTTTCAGTGATTGATAATGGCTAGTCTAAGTAAATATTTCATATTTAGCTAATAATTTTTTTTTTAAAAAATACTTGGCTAAGACTAACTCATAATTGAAGGCTAATCAGATAAAGAAATAAGGATCAAGTTATCAGCATAAAGGGAAATATAATTGAGCTCAAAGCAATCTCACAAAATGTTGTATTGTTGACAAAGAGGTTAAAAAAGTAGAACCTGCTTTTGTTTTATTCTTTTATTCTTTTTTTCCTCTTTGGCTGCCATCTTTAAACAAGTTTCTAGACAATGGAGAGAATTCTTTGTTGTTCCTTGATATGATCCATGAAAGGCTTTTTATACATGCAGACTAACAGACTAAAGATTTCTTTAAAACAAAGTAAACTTATAAATGACTTAGATGAAGGAATAGAAAGGGAACTCATCAAATTTGCAGATGACACTAAGCTGCAGATGGATCTTGATAGACTTGAACACTGGGCGCTATCCAACAAAATGAAATTCAATGTAGAGAAAAATAAAGTCTTACACTTAGGCAATAAAAACCAAATGTACACATATAGATTGGGTGAAACCTAGCTTAATAGCAGTAACTGTGAGAGGGATCTTGAAGTTTTAGTAGATAACCAATTAAATATGATTTAGCAGTGTGCAGCAGCAGCCCAAAAAGCCAACGCAATCCTAAATTGCATTAACAGAGGGATTCAACAAAAATCATGTGAGATACTAATAACACTCTATAAAGCCTTAGCAAGACCAGACCTAGCATACTGTATTCAGTTTTGATCACCCTGCTATAAAAAAGATGCTGAGACTCCAGAAAGAGTGCAGAGAAGAGCAACAAAGATAATTAGGGGACTGGAGGCTAAAACATATGAAGAAGGGTTGCAGGAATTGAGCATGGCTAGTCTAGTGAAGAAAAGGACCAGGGGTGACATGGTAGTAATGTTTGAGGGGCTGTCACAAAGAGGAGGGGGTCAATCTATTTTGTATCTAAAGCACTTGAAGGCCAGACAAGGAAAAATGGATGGAAACTGATTAAGGAGAGATTTAACTAGAAACAAGGAGAAATCTGACAGTGAGAACAATCAACCTAATGGAACAATTTTCCTTCAGATATTATGGGTGCTTGATCACTTGAGACTGGACAGCCATCTGTCAGAAATGGTATAGAGTCTCCTGCTTGAGCAGGGGGTTGGACTAGAAGACCTCCAAGGTCCCTTCCAACTCTGTTATTCTGTTACATGGAGAAAAAGTTCTTCTAAAAATGGAACCATATTTTAGAGTAAACAGGATTGCTCTGCACAGGATGCATATGATTGCTCGGTATAATTTCATAAATATGTCAACTGATGTTATGGTTATGCTAATTAACTTTTCCAGTAAAGTAAAAAATAACTTTTGATTGGATAAAAACATTATATTTAAAATATTTGTGGAATTTGTGTGTGTGTGATCCTATTTTATTTATTTGTATAGTTTTTATATTTTGTCTTCAGGATCAAGCAGAACAGTTTTTTAGAAGTGGACATACAAACAACTGGGCAGTTCTGGTAAGATAACCCATTCTGATTGAACCTAACCTAATCTAAACAAATCTATTGAAATATATCAAATGGTACCATTGAAAAGAAAAAATGGCTTGCCTCCACAGTGATAAAATTGCTTTTCATGCAAAGATAGTGGATTGGATCTGATTCTATCCTATATTCTATATCCATTAAAAAAAGAATAAAAGATAAATAATTCTATTTAAATACCTGTAGAGATTAGCCATCACCAATGATTTTTTTTTAAAAAAAAACCTTTTCAGAAGTTTTTCAGAAAAAGTTAGCCTTCATGCTCACCTTGATCTTGATTTATTAATTTACTAAGTCTGTATGTTGTAGGAAGTATATGCATGTGTGGGAGAAGAAATAATACAGAATAGGGAGGTCTTTGACGATTATACTGCAGGCATTAGTCTTCATTTGAGGGAGAACAGTTCTTCAGTTTGATTGGCGAATTTGTCTTTAGTGAAATTTCCAAATAAGCTGTAGCTCAATGGCCCATTTATTGCTGCACAGTTATGTTGTTACATTATAGGCACATAATTTATTCTTATCCACCACCCCCTCTCTGTATATATTAATCATGCATGTTTGCATATGTATTTTTCTATTAATCTGTTTAGGTGTGCACATCTCGGTTCTGGTTTAACTATCGGCATGTGGCCAATACTCTCTCAGTTTACAGAAGTGTCAAGAGACTTGGAATTCCTGATAGGTAAGAAGAGCCTTTTAAAATAGTATCAAGTACAAATAGGGTAATTAATCTGCTAATGTGATCCTATACTTGTCTAATCTTCCATTATTTTTTTTATATCTATGTATTTTCATTAGACAGGTTCTAAAAGGAAATATGAAAAAAAAGAATGAAGTTGAAAAATCCTGGATGTTATAGCTTTCTAACGTACTATTAATTAGTTGTAAATAATTCAGAATATTCAAATAAAATATCTTTATTACAGTCTTTGATCAGCTTTTTCAAAGTTTATATATTGTACCATTTTAAAATATTAATGATTACTAATAAACCTTGAGCTAAAAGTGGGTATTCAGAATCATAGTTAATACAATATAGGTCACATCTTTGCCATTTCTGGGTTTTTTGTGCTTTTTTTTGTAATTGTTCCTTTTTAAAACAATTTGTAAACTGCCCTGACTCATTGAGAGTCAGGTGGCATATACATATGATAATTATGATTATGGTTCATCGCATAGTCAACCAGATTTTTATTATGACCTGAAGTAGATGCAATATGAATCTATTGTAATTTAAGTATCCTCTGAAATTAAAATGTAGATTCTGCCTAGAGAAACTGAAATTTTGGATGTGATACTTGTATTAAGTCATAGCCTAGGTATAGTTCGCAGTTTAAATTGAATTCTTTGGCATATTTGCTTTTAAAGTATGAAGTTATTTTAAATGAAAACATGCTCCCACAACTTGAGTAGTTATTATTCCATTGAGGACTTTTCTATCGAAGGTATATAGATATTTTTTTTGTTAATAGCCAATGAAAAAATATTTTGGCTTGATCTTTGATATTCCAAGTCTTTATGAATGAATTTGGCTGGAAAGTATTTATTCTGAATCAATTCATCTGCGAGGCAGTTAAACAACATTATGTTTGTATTTATGCTTAGGCAATTATTTTTAAATAACAAATACATTACTATTGAATTAATCATCTAAAATTTCTCCTGCACTAGCATATTGAAATAAATTGTTTGATAAGTTAATTAATTATATGCCTGTTCATTAATTTGATTTTAAAAACTGTTTGATAAGTTACTTAGATACCTTTTCAAAAATTTGATTTTGATTTGTTTACAATCTTAATTGTAAAAAGATTAGTTCAAGTCTAATCTAAACATTGGAGGTATTAGCAGAGAAATATGTTCATAGATATAGGCATATATTTAACTATGGATTTGAATGAAAGAGGGAGATTACATATTTTTTTAAAATGGAAATACACAATTTCTAACACAAATATATGCAGAAGACCTATTATCTGATTAATACTCTAAACTGGAAAATTCATCACATCGCTTTTCATAGCTTGAAAATAGATGACTTTGTTTATGATGAAGAATTATGAATTCAAATCACTCAAAAATGTAAATGTGACCATGTTGCATAGACATTTTTGCAAACTGAGAAGATGGGATGTAAATACAGTGACCATAGTTTCTTGGAAAAAAATAAAGGACAAACCTGGAAAAGGAACAAAACTGAAATAGTACATTACAATGTTAAGTAGTGTACATAAAGGATAAAATCCTGTTTATAATTTTGCTGTACAGTATATAACATTATTGCTTTACAAAGGAAAATTCAAAAGCCAAGAAAGCAATTAATTAATTTACTCTAAAGGACAGCTTTCTGAAATAAAGGATTATTCATTATAATAAAGGATGTATGTTCACTCTAGATATTAATGACTATGGAGATTCTCAGTCCATCTGCATATGAAAGACAAAGATCATTCTTTTATAGACAGTAAAGTCCACATTCTAGACAGAGGACCGCTGGTTTGAAAAAGGGGTAAAAGAAACCATCTACATTAAAACTGAACAGCCCTCTCAACAAAGGGGGAGGGATATGACACCACCTATTTCCTGTTTACAACACAGTCCTTTCAGCAGTCTAAAAAGGCTCAATGCCCATTTGCACTACTCAAACCTCCATGTGCCCTCAACGATTCTCAGAAAGAATGCTAATGACCAGATGACTGCAAGGAATATAATCCTTCCATTCCCCATCATTCAGTCAGAACTGAAGAAGCTTGTTGGATGAGAAGTGAAACATCTTCAAGGAAAAACAAAGAAAGTCCAGTTGCCTCTTGAAAAAGCACTTTGTTCAAATAAAGAAATGCTCAGAAATAATAAAGACAGTATAGCCAAAAAGATCTTCCAGATTTGATAGCATGCTTCAAAATTTGTCTAGGAGATTTTTTTTTTCAGGGCCATAAATATGAGATAGATTCCCAAGTTTAATTAAATTGCCAAACTTACTGTAAGTAACAATACTCAGTATTGCTCCTTAATTAGAACCCTGTACTTTCTGCATAAGTTACATCTGCCAAATGGCTGTGGTTTGCTCCCTACATTAGCATCTATGCTAATGATAAAACAATGAGGAAGAAAACTGATGAGTACAATGAGAGAGAGAGAAAAAACATATGAATTTCAAGGGTGAGCCAACCACCTATTCTTGTTTTGAAGGATTGTTAAGTTTCGTAAATTGCATAGAATTGAATACATGTGCAAATACAGTAAAGTTAGCCTTATTAACTTTTAAAAGCTATTTCTTCATTCTGTGTGAATTTTTGGCTTAGTCACAGAATGCCTTGCATAGAAAAGAGGATTAAAGCTATTAAACAGACTTTCAAAGTTAGCAGGCCAAGTATGTTTCTTGAGGCTTTGTGTTGCTACTGAACTCAAATTGTTTATTCAAATTCATTTATTTTCTTTCCAATTAGTCATATAGTCTTAATGCTAGCAGATGATATGGCCTGCAATCCAAGAAATCCGGCTCCAGCTACTGTGTTTAGTCACAAAAACATGGAACTGAATGTCTACGGAGATGATGTGGAAGTGGATTACAGAAATTATGAGGTTAATTCTTAAATACAGTCCGTATTAAAATGTAGAAAGGGGATGTGGAAGGGGATAACATTTAAGTCAATTGATGAGAACTTACAACTTCTTGGGCCTCAGAGATGTTCTTCAGCACAATTAAAAACTCAGAACACATTCAACATGATGTATGAGTTTTAGGACTTTGCATGCTCTGATATCAAGGTCTTTAGCCTACCAAATCTAGTCAAATCATTGTTTAATCAGTGGGATATATCAATACCTGAAAATTGATATATTTTTCTCACGGTTAATAATTGGGCACAGTAATGTTCCCACCTGAACCTTTTAAAGCAGGTATGGAAGACCCATGGATCCAAATCACAAAACTCAGGATTTTAGCAATGTGACAAAAGACTAAAGGTGTGAAACCAATTATTCTTGTCAGCTTTGAGCTGGAAAGTGTAATTGTGGTCCCATGATCTCCCACTTAGCAACCATTTTGCTTAAAGACAAACCTGCCAGACCCAATTCCTACTAAAAGAGGACTACTGTACCTGTACAGGAGTTGAGATTGTTAGTTATTGTCACTAGCAACGTTTTCTGAGTATTTTTGGAACCTTAGAAAATTATTTTCAGAGCTGGTAGGTGTGAGGTTTGAGATTTCATAGGACAACTTTTTTTTGCTGGGCAGGTGGATGATTTAAAATCAAGTGATTTTTAATCACTGGAATGTAGTTTCCCATAAGCCATGCAGAATTTTAAGCTTTAAAATATGTCTATAACCATTTTTCCATGGCAACATGCAGTTGTGTTAATGGTAAGAAAATGTTGAAATGGTTCCCAGAGATAAAATAATAAAATTTGACAGGTATTCAAAGCACTGAATATATACTGTATGTTATGAAGGCTGAAATATGACAACGTAACCTGAGCTAATAGTACATTAATGATGTATAATATGCAGTAGTGTATTATTTTATTGGACAGTTGATTTGAAAATAATGCCTGTAAGATTAAATGCAAACTCTAAACCGGATGCTGTTTCATTGTTTAGGTTACCGTGGAAAATTTTTTGAGAGTGTTAACAGGCCGAATCCCAGCAAGTGCGCCTCGTTCCAAACGTTTGCTTTCTGATGACAGAAGCAATATTCTCATATATATGACAGGTAATTGTATTTTCTTTGGCATTTCCTATAATAATAATAAACACTCAAACACTTCATAACCATCTGAAATAGCCATTTGCATCAGTTTGGAAAAGGCTGATATAATTACCTGGCTGATTAATGCATCACCCAGTGGCCACGTCCACACACTGTCCTAATTCCCGATCATAGTTTAGCAATATTAGATTTAGGGTTGTCACATACTAGTTAAAAGCATAACTAATCGTTTTATGGTTACTATGATATGTGATTCCTCCAATTGAGCAGCTTACAAAATACTACAATAAAGATCCAACAGAAATACAGAATTATAAAAGGAGAAAGTCTGGAAAAAATCAACAGTGTATCAAAAGACAACTATATCCCTCAAAGGATCCATCATCACTCTGACCCAAGGCCTGGAGATTGGCAGGTTTTGATGGCTTTCAATCAACCAGAATAGAGCTGGAAGGGACCATGGAGGTCTTCTAATCCAGCCCCCTGCAAAAGTATTTCAGACAAGCTGTGCAGTCTCTTCCAAAAAACCTTGAGTGATGAAGCAAGCTGAAGGCAAGCTGTTCCACTGGTTAATTGTCCTCACTGTTAGGAAGTTTCTCCTTAATTCCAGGTTGCTTCTCTCCTTGATTATTTCCATCTGTTTCTTGTCTTGCCTTCTGGTGCTTTGGAAAATAAATTGATCCCCTCTTCCTTATGGCAGCCTCTCAAATGGAATGCTGCTATCATGCCCTCCCCCCACCCAGTCCTTCTTTTCTCTAGACTGGCCATTTCCAAATCCTGTAGCCGTTCTTCATATGTTTTAATCTCCAGACCTTTAATCATCTTAGTTCTTCTTAGTTCTTACTTTTCCCAAAGTCTCAACATCTTTTTTATAATGTGGTGACCAAAACTAGATGCAGTATTCCAGGTGTGGCCTTACTAATTACTTCACGTAATTTTGATTCTGTGCCTCTGTATATACAACCAAGGATTGTATTAGTTTTTTGGGCTGCTGCTGCACACTGCTGGCTCATGCTTAACTGATTGTCCACAAGGACTCCAAGGTCCCTCTTACAGTTACTGTTTTTGAGCCAGGTTTCGCCTAATTTGTATTTTTACCTTTGTTTTTTTCTGCCCAGGTGTAAAACCTTGCTTTTCTCCATGTTAAATATCTTTTTGTTAGATAGGGCCTATTGTTGAAGTCTGTCAAGATCTTTTTGGATTCTGAGCTTGTCTTCTAGGGTGTTGGCTATTTCTGCCAATTTAGGGTCATCTGCACATTTGATGAGATTCCCTTCTATTCCCTCATCTAAGTCATTTATGAAGATATTGAAGAGTACTGGGCCTAAGACAGAACCTTGTGGCACCCTACTGCTTACTTCCCTCCATGTAGATGTAGTACCATTAAGGACGACTTGTTGGGTATGGTTTGTCAGCCAGCTACAAATCCATCTGGTGGTCATGCTGTCTATCCCACATTTTTCTAGCTTACTAAGAAGTAGATTGTGATAAACTTTGTTGAATGCTTTGCTGAAGTCTAAATACAGTATGTCCACAGTATTTCTCTGGTCTACTAATTTGGTCACTTTGTCAAAAAATTAAATAAGATTGGTTTGACATGATCTGTTTTTAACAAACCTATGCTGGCTACCAATTATAACTTTATTTGTTTCTAGATCTGTTTTTTGATTATTTTTTCCAGTATCTTCCCAGGTATTGATGTCAGGTTGATTGATCTGTAGTTTTCTGAGTCTGCTTCCCCCCCCCCTTTTTTTTTTTGTTTAAATAGGGGCTGGTGAGAACTGTAGAAATCTCAGAGAGATTTGTGTTTATCTCACACTTATCTTCTATAGAAAAGCCTAATACATGCCCTGTCCTTTACATTAATAATCATTATAGGCAAAGATTAATGAATAATCAGGAGCATAGCCTTCATAACTGTTTCCATGATTCTTTGTCCTTACATTAAAATACTTATATTGCAATTTGTCATCTATCTGTATATAGGTAAAACTAGGATTTTAAAATACAGTCCGTGCAAGAATTGGTCTTCAGTGACATATTACATAGCTACACAAGCAAAAAAATAGTCAACATAAGGCTGATTCACTATAGTTGCTGTCTTGAAATCTCCATATCAGTCCCCCCACCCCCTTCCTCGTTTAAAAACTTATTCCTATTCAGTCCTGGGATCTGCACTGCGAAATGGGCCAAAGAGACACTGACATCCTTGGATTTTGTACACTTTGCAAGTCAGTGGTTTATTCAGTAAATCATAATTTTTTAAAAATGTAGCCCAGCACATGTATGAATATGGTTCATGTTTAAACACTCTATTCAAGTGCTATAGGAATTGTTCTAACTTAGCTTGGAAATATATTATTATTATGGATCATCGCACAGTCAGCCAGATGTTCAGACTGGATTTGGCATTTTGTCTACCTATCGAGTCCTTACCCAGGACCTGGGATAGGCAGATGTGGATGTTTGATGGTATTACAGATATCGTCGCAGGATGGAAGCAGTTCCTAGTAAGGCCGCCTTTTGCAATTGACTAATAGCGAATTTGTCAATGCCAATGGTGTTCAAGTGGTGCTCCAGTTGTTTTGGGATTGCACCCAAGGAGCCTATTACTATTGGTACTACCCTTGCTTGCTTTTGCCACAGTCTTTCTATTTCTATTTGTAGGTCTTTGTATTTTGTTATCTTCTCCAGTTCTTTCTCGTCTATTCTGCTGTCTCCAGGCACTGCCACGTCCACTATCCAGACTTTTTTGTCTTTCTTATCGACAATTGTTAAGTCTGGGGTGTTATGTTGCAGGTGCTTGTCTGTTTGAATTCTGAAGTCCCAGAGCAGTTTAATTTTATCATTTTCTATGACTTTCTCTATTTTATGATCCCACCAGTTTTTGCTTACAGGAAAATGATATTTTTTGCAGATCTTCCAATGCACCATTGTTGCTACTTTGTCATGCCGCTGCTTGTAATCAGTCTGTGCAATCTTCTTGCAACAGCTTACCAGGTAGTCCACTGTTTCTTCAGCTTCTTTGCATAGGCGGCACGTACTGTCTGTTGCTGTCTTCTCAATTTTGATTTTATATGCATTTGTCCTTAAAGCTTGGTCTTGTGCAGCTAGAATTAGTCCCTCGGTCTCTTTCTTCAATTTTCCTGCTCTTAGCCATTGCCAGGTCTTGTTATTATCTGCTTTCCCAGCTATTTTTTTAATGCATTGGCCATGCAGTGCTCTGTCCTCCCATGTCTCCATTCCGCTCCTCACCCGGTCCCTCCTGCAGGCCAGTCCGGCCCCCCCAGCAGTCAGCAAGCCCCCCCGATACACCAACTTCAGTGCATCCTCATCACCGCTCCCCAGACACTCCTCCAAAGCCATTCACTCTTCTTCAACCATCTGATGTACTTGTAGCATTCCTGAAGAAGAAAAAATGGCTCCGGAAGAACACCTGAAGAACAATGATGAAGATGCACCGAAATCAGCACACCAGGAAGGCTCACCGACCACTGGAGAGACCAAACCGGCCCACAAGAAAGACCAAATGAAGAACAGAATAGAGGCATGGGAAGACAAAGCACCACATGGCCAATACATCAAAAAAAAACAGCCGGGACAGCACTATTATTATTATTTTATTTTCGCACAGTCAGCCAGATGTTCAGACTGGATTTGGCATTTTGTCTACCTATCGAGTCCTTACCCAGGACCTGGGATAGGCAGATGTGGATGTTTGATGGTATTACAAATATCGTCGCAGGATGGAAGCAGTTCCTAATAAGGCCGCCTTTTGCAATTGACTAATAGCGAATTTGTCAATGCCAATTGTGTTCAAGTGGTGCTCCAGTTGTTTTGGGATTGCACCCAAGGAGCCTATGACTATTGGTACTACCCTTGCTTGCTTTTGCCACAGTCTTTCTATTTCTATTTGTAGGTCTTTGTATTTTGTTATCTTCTCCAGTTCTTTCTCTTCTATTCTGCTATCTCCAGGCACTGCCACGTCCACTATCCAGACTTTTTTGTCTTTCTTATCGACAATTGTTAAGTCTGGGGTGTTATGTTGCAGGTGCTTGTTGTTGTTGTTGTTATTATTATTATTATTATTACTACTACTACTACTACTACTACTACTACTACTACTACTACTACTACTCTGGAAATCCAGATCTAAAAGAATCCAAGATGTGTGGCTGCATATATATTAGTAGTTGCAGTGACTCAGGGGAGGTTTGGAAGGATGTGGGTAATACAGACTTCTTAAATGTTAAAGCTGAATTGATTGGGCAGCTCAGCTTGCTAAGGCTGAGTTCCAATAGACAAAGCAATTGCTTACCCTTTGCTTGCCTTGCTTCTTTTATCTGCCTTTTAATATAAACTCCCTTGGTGTGCGAGAGCATATCTATAAATTGTTATAGTTTGATGCCAACTGTTTTGTTTGAAGGTGTTCAGAAAAATATTTTTGAAAAGATCCTGACTTCGCATTTTTAAAATATATTTTTTTCTTGCCCAGGTCATGGTGGGAATGGTTTCTTGAAATTTCAAGATTCTGAAGAAATTACAAATGTGGAACTCGCTGATGCCTTTGAACAAATGTGGCAGAAAAGGAGGTAATTTCTAATCCCTCCTTTCTAGTCTGCCTGCATTTTTCTGCGTCTTCTGATTTACTTAGTGCGTGTTTAAAATTTTCATTTCATTTAGTACATTTATTTGCAATCATAGGTTTTAGCAAAATTTCATGTACTGTTTCAGCAAGCCTTAACTGGTCAGTTATTCCTCCCCCCCCCTACAATTAACAGCACTGTCAACATCTGCACTAACATTGTTCACGTTTTTACCTTTTATAATATTATGGACTATGTATCTCTAGAGTCTAGCTGATAATACAACTAAGTATTAAGGCCTTCTGTACAAAGGAAGTCATGAAGCCACTGGGCCTTTGCAATGTCCTCTGTCCAAAAATGTCTGTCAAAGCTGGTGCTTCTTTTGATTGGCTGGTTTGAAAATATAAGCTGATCTATTGGGTCATTTGCATCACCAATCTTTAAAATACCACCTGGCATCCAAGGTATAAGGGTTAGCTCATAGACATTAAGGTTATGCAAATATATTGAAAGAGGTACTTTTCTATGCAACTCAACTTACAAGTGTGTGAGACTTTTACAAACCTTTCCAGCGGAGGAAGAATATGTTCATATTGGGGTTGCATGAGCCCAACTCTAGCAAGATAAAAAACAGAGTATTTTTCTTTTCAAATTGTCCCAGATTCCCCCATCAAGAAACACTGTTGACTGGAAGTGGACAGTCCTAACTGTTTTTTTTTAAAAAACAAAAAACAAAAAACAAGTTTTATTAGTTTTTTCATTTTACAAACCAGTGCTTAAGAATCACTGTGGTGGCAGGGCAATCAATTGTCCAAAAACAAAGTCATACTCCTAAAGATCAGATTAAATCATACAAAAAAAAGTTAAAAGAAAAGCAACCCTCTCTATTCTCTCTAGTAATATATTATATTCAAGTTAATGTATTTCAGTACAACTAAGTCAGTCAAAACAATCATCAATAAGATTTCATCTAAATAAATCCAAATCTTATATTAAGCTTTACTATTACAATTGCTATATTCCATATTGCTAACATAAATACATAATTAGCACTTCAAATGTCTCTCCATTCCTCTTTTTTCCATTAATTCAATCAATATTCATTTATTAATATCATTCCTTCTTTTTTCTTAATCAGTAACATTTCATCTAAATAAATCCAAATCCTGTATTAAGCTTTACTATTTCAGTTACTATCTTCCATGTTGCTGATCTGAATACATAATTAACACTTTGGGTGTCTCCCCATTCCCTTTTTCCTTAACATAGTCAATAAACATTTATTAATATTATTTCTTCTTTTTTTCTTATTCTTCTTCCATTACAAAATAGCTATCATTTCTAATAATAAAAATATTAATTCAAAGAAGATAAGAAGATAAGAGAGAAAAGGAAAAAAAACAAAGAGAAAAAACAAAGACAAAACAAACAAAAAACCCTTTCTATTTTTATTATACTTTATAACCTATCACTCCATCAATATCTGTGTCAAACTACTTTAACTTCCTCCCAAAATTACTATAACCACAACAAACATGTTAATATGTAGACAAACGTTTTCTTATTAAATTCAAACCTTTAATTAATTTTTATTCAAACATCTTATTTAACTGTCTTAAGCCATAAATCAATCCATATCTAGTAAGCCTTTAAATCCAATATATAATCCAGCTGTTGAATTTCTTTATCTTTTCCTTTTTATAGTAGTTTGAAGATCAAAGCCAGTTTCACCATCAGAAAAAGAAACAATGCAATTTTAACTTTTTCCACAAGGTGTCCTCAGTAAGATATAAAATCTCCCAGACACCAGCAATATCATTAACAAGATCAGAAAACACAGAAAAAAAAGAGAATTCTTCAGATATAGATAAAATCCAATAGTAGATTCAATATTCAATATTAAAAAAAGTTTCCAAGACCCCAAAGTGAATAAAAAAAATAAAAACAGAGAAATAGTCACTTTAAATTAATTCAATCCATAAGCTTCTTTTTCCCACACTTACCAACGCCGCCTTCTCAGAGCAGGGAAATGATTTCAAAAGTGCTTTTTATAGGCACACACACACAAAAAAGGAGAACCAAGAGAGGAAAAGAAAAAAGTCTCACCCGGCTCAACCACGGTGATTCCTGTGCTTAGATGTTCTTCTGACTTCTGGTTACAGCGGCAAGGTGAACGGCCATTTTACTGGCAGTTCTTTCCACTGTCAGCCCAAAGGAGCAATCTCGGGCCGTGGAAGAAGCTGCCACTCTCCCACGGCCGACGAGGACCTCCTCAGTAGTAGCCGCCCCTCCAGGGGTCTACCAGCAGTGGAGAATCAGCTGGCGAAGAGAGCAGTCTGTTTGCACAGCTGTGAGCACCGCGATCCGGATCCGGAAGTCCCTAATTGTTGACATAGATCTGGATTTGAAGATCTAGCAAAATATGTATACAGATATAAATCAAAAAGTATATGTAATATTGTGTAACAGTTAATCAAAGGAAGTAGGAATCAAAAACCTTTGTTCTGAATGAGCAGACAGATCCTTTGCAAAAGGAAGACTACACAAGACTTCAGAAGGTTTATATTGACATGGAGTTGCCTTAGTGAAAGATTTCAGGATTTTACTTTGGAATAAACACACATTGAATTGTGCATTTAATCACCAATACTTTTTTTTTATGCAATGGTGATAAAACTGGATAGTTTATAAAGGTACGTTATTGTCTGTTAATGGCTAAAAACCCTGGAGGCAAAATCTCCCAGAAGACTTATTTTAAAGTAGCATTTTGTTTATGGGGCTGGATGAAGTCACCCCAGCTGATGGACAAAGGAAGATATGGCTTATCTCCTATGTTCTAGAAAGGGCTTTACTTTGTATCTGGACATTTTGTTATGCTTGATTATTGTAGAAGGCTTAAGGGCCAGCTGGTATAAACAGACATAAAGGATGCTTTTTCCCCCTTCCAGGTATAATGAATTGCTGTTTATTATTGATACATGCCAAGGGGCATCCATGTACGAACGGTTTTATTCTCCCAATATAATGGCTTTGGCTAGCAGCCAAGTTGGAGAAGATTCACTTTCTGTAAGTATATCATTTCTTATGTTAACTATATATATAGATACAGTTACCAAATGAAAATCTCTCCTAGTTTGGTGGGTATCTATCTATAAGATTTAATAGAAATATTGCTTCTGCTGGAAAGTATTGCATTTATAATGGAATGAGAATTTGTTTTAAATAAGTAGCAATACTAATTAATAATAGTGCTATAAAGAAAAGCTAGGTTTTTTAAAAATAAAAATGAAATTGTGATCCCCACATTTGGTTGCTCATGACCTTCCAGGAAGTCATGACCTTCACAATACTATTTTGAGAACCTTGGTATATTTTATTGCATATTTTGGAGGGCAAAAAACAGTTCTACAGAACTGTGACACTCTCAAAGAAGGATGAATTTTGAAAGATAAGAGAGGCAGGTAAAGAATTGCTGTTTTCTTTGGTCAGGATAGGTTTGGCAGATTGAAATATAGAGCACGTGCTACAGAACCAAATTCCTTTCCAGCACATCATGTATTTTGTTTGGCCTTATTTATTTGCTCCTATCTCTGCCACATAGTAGTTATTCATAGTTTGGGAGGTTAACCAGCTGTTGATAGAACATGTAGGTGTAAGGTTGCATTGTTCAAGTTTCATTGCTAAACATTTATATATGATAAATTCAGTATTTATAACAATATTCTCTTTTTGAAGCATCAACCAGATCTTGGCATCGGTGTCCATTTGATGGATAGATACACATTTTACGTCTTGGAATTTTTAGAAGAAATTAATCCAGCTAGCCAGACCAATATGAATGACTTGGTAAATACTTATTTAACTTGCTATTCATGAAACCACTACTGGAAAGCTGTGTGATTTGCATAATTTTACACAACTCTTTTAACACCCTTTCCTGTTTTTCCCATTGTCACTGTATTACCTCTGGTTGGGAAGAAACCTTTTTTTGGTTTAGTTTTAAACACCCAAAATGAGATTTAATTAAATGTAGGGCTTAAATCTACCTTACCTTATTAAAAAGAATCCTCTTATAGCCTGGGATCTTATTAGCAAAGCTGTGTTTTTCATTATAACCATTCTACGTTGATGTTTGAATTGTTTCTAGTTGCATACAATGCTGTCTTTCAGCTCAATTATATTAAAAAGTTATATTATGCAAGATTCAGAACATTGCTTGGTTCCTGACTCAAGCTGAAAAGTATTAGCTATAACTGAAGCTAAACGTAAGACTTAATCGCAGAGTGTAAAAAGAAGCATAAGCGATTGGTAGAGCATAAATCTCAGTGAGCAAATGATCCGACTGCCATCTCTAATTAAAGTATCAAGATTGTAATTGCTAGGAAGGGATCTGGGCATTTCATGGCCTGTGGGCAGTTCCAGTCTGGCTTGCAGCAGTGTGTGTGGGGTTTGGGATGGGGCTTGGGTGTGTGAGCATAAGCAGGGTGTCGACAGCAGAGAGCAGGGTGGGGCATCTGTGACAAGGGGCATCAGCACAACAATCCCAGTATTTCATTTCCATTTTAAGGAAATATGATGTGAATGTGAAAAGAGCTGAGGTGGCGCAGCAGTTAGAGTGCAGTACTGCAGGCCACTTTAGCTGACTGTGTTCAGCAGGTTAGCGGTTCAAATCTCACCGGCTCAAGGTTGACTCAGCCTTCCATCCTTCCGAGGTAGGTAAAATGAGGACCCAGATTGTTGAGGGCAATGTAAATATATATATATATATATATATATATATATATATATATATATATATGTATATGTATATGTATATGTATATGTATATTTACATTGCCCTCAATGTGTGTGTGTGTGTGTATATATATATACACACACACACACACACACACATTGCTTACTGGTGTACACCGCTTAGAGAGTGCTTGCATTTAAAGCGGTATATAAGTCTCATAAATAAATAAATAAATAAATAAATAAATAAATAAATGTGCTATACAATCAATCAATCAATCTCATGGGGCCCCTTGGGAAAATTAATTTCTCATCCCTACAGTAGAAGCAAATCTCCTGATTGTGTATGGTAAATAACTAGCAACATTCAGAATCCAATCCTAAGCACGTTTCCCCTCCTCCCTCAGAAATAAGTCTCTTTGAACTGAGAAGGATTCCTTCTCTGCTAGGCATGTTTAGGATGCTTTTTTCATTTATTTGAAATGTTAACATGGTCCTACAGTTTAGGACCATACCTCTTCTGGAAGCTGGAATTATGCAGGAGAGTGGTGTGGTTTGAATATGTTCAGGAGATGCTATATGGCAAATCAGTCTGCATATGATGAAAATTTTCCACTGGATGCCTAAGGAGAAGACAGACTCCTGGCCATTCTTCCATAAATGATCTTTTATAACAGTTTTTCTAACGGAATTCTGCATAAACGTATAGCCAGGTGATATGAAGCAGCAATATTGAATATATATATCTATATATTAATAGATAAGGATTAGCTTGCCTCTCAAAAATCTTTCATATTATGTTAAGTAAGAGATAGCGGTACACATGCTATCCACTCATATTCCGTTTTGCAGATTTGAGCAATATCCTGTTTAAATTCAGTGTTGCTTAACATGCTATGTCAAGAGATATGAGTTGTGAATCTAAATCTCAAAAGTCTTTTTTCACATGAGAGAGCAACTGTGTAAAATCATTTACAAGTATTTAAGTTTACGGACTGAGCTGGTACTTCACTAGAAAAGATGTTATCAGTTTTGCAGTAAGCAGCTCACATTGCTAAGCTTAATAGTGAGATAGAACTGAATAAGTAGCCAACGTTCAGCTGAGAAAGAAGTTTCATTATTAAATCTGACAAAATCTATTTTAAAAATAGGGTATAATTGTGTGAGAATGAGGGATATATAGGTAATCATTGATTTATGACCATAATTGAGCCTGGAGTTATCTTCGTAAGTCATGGTGGTTAAGTGTAACCATGATTGATTTTATGACTGTTTTTGTGGCAGTCATTAAGGAATTTGGCAATCATTAAATGAATCCATTTTCCCCAAAGCGCATTTTTTGCCAGAGATTGGAACACTGGTTTCTGGCAAAAAATGCCAGAAATCATGGTTATGTGACAGTAGAATGCTGCAAACAGCTATAAATGTGGGCCTGTTGTCAAGCATCCAAAATGTCATCATATGACTATGGGGAGGGGGGAGGCAGCCACTGGAACTTCAAAATGGGTCATAAGTAGCTCTGAGTAGGTTTGTTGCATAAATCTAGGACTACCTATATTATAATGATAAACTGTCATTCCATTTTGAACAGGTTTGTCTGCCACACTTTGTGTTTTCTGGAATCCATTAACTTACTAGAAACTAAATAATTAACAGATAAATAAAATGCCATCTTGAATATTGTGAAAAATGGGCCAGTGAGTTAGAAATTGCATTGTAGAAATTGGTGATCTTATACCGTAGCAGATTTACTGGGTCTTCAGTATTAACATTTTTAAATTTTACTTTATCTTTGATATCTAGGAAAACATAGAGTTACAACCCTGCCCATATTTCCAGATATGTGGCCTCATTAAACATTGTTGGATTCACTTCTGAATAGCACATATAGGAGAAATAAATGGTTTTAGGATGATACGTAGAGTTTGGCTATTGGGATTTCGAATAAGATGGTTGGTTTCTAAATTTGATAGTAGATAGATAGATAGATAGATAGATAGATAGATAGATAGATAGATAGATAGATATAGACAGATAGGCAGACGGACAGACAGGCAGATAGACAGATAGATAGATAGACGATAGGTAGATAATAAAATTATGTCCTGTGCTTGAACATTCCATTCTTGCTTTGTCCCTACATTCTTTGATTGGGGCAAACAGTCATTTTTAGAAATATCTGTGTTAATTTCCATCTAGGATTTGATTGGTTTAGAGGTAAACTGATTTTAATATGACACCAAATTATGGATTTCTAGAAAATTATTCAAGTAACTGAAATCTGTAATTCGGAGATGAAATTCTATGTAACTCTGTAGCAAGGTACCAGTGATAGAAATATGGTTTGTCAGTTCTGTTGAATTAAACCTTTCACTCTAAAAATGAATAAAACTATTTAAATTCCAATATTATTCCTATTGGGGAACTGAAAAACCACGTCACAAGGTGTACATTGGTATTGGATGATCAGACCTAGTTGGGAAAGAATGCAGCAAAGGTTTTTATGAAGATTTGAAACAAAATATCTTCTTTATAGTTTCAGGTATGCCCTAAAAGTTTATGTGTGTCAACACCTGGACACCGGACAGATCTGTTTCAGAGAAATCCTGACAATGTCTTGATAACTGATTTTTTTGGGAGTGTACGAAAAGTGGAAATTACAACTGAGACAGTTTCTCTGGATCCTAATTTGGCACCTGCAGAGACAAGGTATTTTGGTTTATTTTTTGAAGCTCAGATATTTATAAATGAATAAATAATTAAAAATATACATCAAGCTACAAAGACAATTGATCCATACAGATAAATGCCAGAATGTGTGTACAAACTGGAATAACCTTACTGCAAAAAGATTCTAGGTGATGTTCAGGAAGACACTGTGTGAACATTCATTTATGTGTATAGTTTGAGTTTTGTACTTTGTTTCTTGGAAACTATGGGAATAGAGGAAACAATAGAAGCGTGCATGATTTGATAGTATATTGATTTAAGAATCCCCCCAAAAGTAAGATCCAGTATTTGAGAAGCCTCAGGGCTCATGTTTGATACTAATTTACTCATGAACATTGGAAATCTAAAATTTATTTATTTATTCAAAACACTAATACTCAGAAAGTTACATTACAATCAGAATATATGAAGAGAGAATATAAAATATGGAGTACAGGTAGTCCTTGACTTACAATCATAATTGGGGCCAAAATTTCCATTGCTGTGCAAGGCAATTGTTAAATGAGTCACAACTGATTTTACAAGTTTTTTTGCCACGTTGGGAAATGAATCTGGTTTCTTTCATTGACTTTGGCAGAAACTAGCTGGGAAGGTCACATGACTTTGGGATGTTGCAACTGTCGTAAATACATCCCGAATACCAAGGTCCTCACATGATTGTGAAGATGCTATGACAGTTGTAACTTGGAGGATCAGTTGTAAGTCACTTTGTTTGGTAACTTTGGACAATCATTAAATGAATGGTTGTAAATCAAGGATTACCTGTATGCAGGCATATAGTGTGCCTTTTTTGTGTGCTTCACTTTATTGTGTTTCATGGATTTGGTTTTTTTTTAACAAATTGAAGATTTGTGGCAATCCTGTGTCAAGGACACCTATTGTGGTGCCAATTTTCCAACACCATTTGCTCACTTTCTGTCTGTGTTGCATTTTGATAATTCTTGCAATTTTTGTAGTTTTTCAGCCTTTTTCATCATTATTAATCAGATGATGATTAGCATTTTTATCAATTTTTTTTAATTAAGGTACATACATTTTTAGAGATAAAGCTATTGCAATGTAACTTTTATATGCATAAGGAAACCAAAAAATTTGTGTGACTTACTTTATTGCAATATTCATTTATTGTGATAGACTGGAATCAAACTCACAATATGTCTGAGATATGACTGTATCTGGACACCAGAGTATCCAATACCTACTGGGTGTAGGTATGGAGAACTGGAAAAGTCATTGTGGGAATCCTATACAATATGTGTATTTTTTTCTTACAGTTAGAAACAGTAAATAATTTGAGTTCCAGTTCATAAGCAGAGTTTGTGAATTCAGAATCAAAACCAGTATCTTTAGTGGAGTACAATGAACAGATGCAAGGAATGATGATGACAATATACTTTTATATATAATCAATTTCAATTCTTGGAGACTTGGATTCATCTTATATAAATGGGAAAAAGTATGCAGCAGAATTTGTAAGCATAGCAATATAGCACAATTGAAATATTGCCTCCGTATCTTTGATTGGTGGGATTGGGAGAAAAATAAAAGGTAGAGAAAAGATCCATCTGAAGTATGTAACGTTTATGGAATGTACATTTTCAGGCAACAAGCTGAATTTATATGCGGTCTTATGTTGCCATCTGTTGGAAGCTCTTGGGATAAAAAAAACACCTTTTGTCTCATTTTATCTACAAGTTGCCATAGACTGCAAAAAATGTGTTGCACATATGTTGTATCAGTAAGGTTTCATACTTCATTTCTGAAGTAATTTGTCTTTTTCAAAGTAATAATTACATCTTTTTCTAGATCAGGCCTTTAGTATTTGCAGTATAAAGTATTATGTTAATCTTGTTTATAGAACAAAGATATTTATTCTATTTAATTCCATCATGCTTTTGAGCTTTTTGTTCTCCTGAAGCGTCTCTGTATTAGGAGAATTATCAGTGCAAGCATGTATTTGAATGGGAATTTCCAGCTGGATCTCCTTGGTTTGAGTGTGACTCAAGATAATGGCCAGTATAGCATTGCCTTTCCTTATTTTATATGTGTGTGAGAGAGATAAAGGAGGAGAAAAGAACACATTTACCCAGAGAAGTATAAATAAAAAGATAGAACAATGAGACAGAAATAAAATATGAAACATGAGCAAATGGATAAGTGCTTTGAGAGATGAAGTATACTGAAAAGTCTGATTAAATGTACCGTATATGCCGGCGTATAAGGCGACTTCCGCAAGCGCTAAAATCGGTGCCAAAGACGGGGGTCGTCTTATATGCCGAGTCGTCTTATATGCCGGAAATACTGGTAGTTTCCGATGTATAAGATGATGTTCTAGGAATTCGGCTTGGCGACAAAGATGGGGGTCGTCTTATACGCGGGTCGCCTTGTACGCCGGCATATACGGTATCTCCATTGTAGTGGGATGTGATGTTGGCTTGCAAAGCAGTCTCTAATTTAGATAGATACCCTATCTTGCATAGAATTGTATGAATGTGTTTAGGGTAAACTAGACCGTGTTTATGCTTTGGGGTCATAATTGACTGAGATTGTTTTTATTGTTACTAGACAATGTGGCATGTGTACGACTAAGACTCATAATCTAGTCTACCATCTTCTCTGTCTTACTAAGAAGTCCAATATGAAAAACCCATTTGACCAAAGCTATGATGGGCAGCAGAGATTAATAACTATGGCCCATCAGGTAAAGAACCTGGCTTATTGAAAATTGAGAATGTAAGAGGAGAATTTGGTAAAATGACATAAATGAAATGAAAGAACAGAAAATGGATATGTTGTATACCTTGAAAGCCAAGAGAAAGGATGTAATAGTTCTAATCTTGATCATGAATATATATAAACTAGTTGTAGATTTAATTATAGATGAAAAGGCTAAAATGAACATTAGACAGTATCAAAAGATATTTTGTATGATTTTAAGAATATAATTTTATTAATCATTAATGCTTTAGATTGTCTTCTTATTATAAAATAATTTGTACATATCTCACTGGTGTATGTAGTCATTAATTTAAATAGCCCAAGAACTTATTCTTTTTTTATATAGATATTTTATTGTTTTTTTAACTATAACAATCTTCAGTGCCTGGTGCACAGCGTGTTGTCTTGGTTTATATTTTAACAAGAAAAAAAGAACAGTAATAACAGTCAATAATGATTAAATTTGATAATTCCATAATTAATATATTAACTAATAATACATTTCTTTGGTCTTTCCTTCTCCCATTTGTATTTTCCTTCTTCAACCTTAGCCAAAATGTAATTCTTAATATTTTCAATATATAAATGATTAGGTATAGACATTTTTTATATTTATACAAATAATAATAATCACTCTATATAACACTTTTTAAGCTTATCTTATTCTCATAACCATCATCTCATTAATTCAGCATACATCCTATTTTTATAATTTTTGTTTGCTTAGATTCCCTTATATTCAATCCAATTCTTATCAGTCATAATTTCTTCATATTAGTCATCTCACTGTCTAAATCAGTGGTTCTCAACCTGTGGTTTGCGATCCTTTTGGGGGTCGAACGACCCTTTCACAGGGGTCACCTAAGACCATTGTAAAACACATATTTCTGATGGTCTTAGGAACCAAGACAGTGCTCCGCATCCATCTCCGCATGGCCTCCGCCATTTGCAGAGTCTCTCTCTTGGACTTACCTCCTGCAGGGCTCCTGATTGGCCCTGCGCCCGGGTGCCCCACCCCCTGGGAGAAGCGCGGCCAGGGCCTCGTGGCCTTGGAGCTGTCCGGGGAAGCCCAGGGATCCCTGCTGGGAGTGGCCCGCTGGAGGCTCCGCTGAGCGGGCCAGCCCTCCGGCAAGCCACGGCCCAAGGGAGACCAGCCCCTGTGATCCCCAGCCAGCCAGACCATTGGACCCGCTGGCCAGGAAGATGCGGCGGAGTCCAGGCTGCCGGGAAGGAAGAAGGAGATTCAGCAAAGGTAGAAGAGGAGAGCCGCCTCCTGGGGCCCAGCACTGGCGGCGGCTTCCTTGCCACCCTCTTCCTCCTCCCCTTCTTCCTCCTACTGCCTCCAAGGCAGCTCGGGCAGGCGCCGGGGCAAAAGTGGTGCCTGGGGGGAGAAGCCGGGCTGGCAGAGGGGCTGGCTGGGGCCACGCAGCACCAGCCCCCACCATGGCTCCATCGGATGGACAGAGGGCGAGGCTGGGCAGCGCAGAGTCCCGGCTGGGGCGGCTGATGTGGTTTTCTCACTCTTCTCTTCTTCTTCCTCCTGCTGCTCCCAAGGCGCTCGGGCGGGCGCCGGGGCAAGAGGGTTGCCTGGGGGGGAGCAGCCGGGCTGGTGGAGGGGCTGGCGGGCTGCGCGGCTCCATTGGATGGGCAGAGGGCGAGGCCGGGCAGCGCGGAGTCCCAGCTGGGGTGGTGGCAGCGGTTTTCTTGCCCTTCTCCTCTCCTTCCTCCTGCCCCCAAGGCAGCTTGGGCGGGTGCTGGGAAGAAGAGGGGTGCCTGGGGGGGAGCAGCCGTGCTGGCAGAGGGGCTGGCGGGCCATGTTGCTCCCGTCCCCACCGCGGCCCGCCAGAAAGAGAGAGAGAGAAAGAGATTAGAGGAAAGAGAAAAACGGGGAGAGGAAATAGAAAAAGAGGAAAGAGGGAAAGAGAGGAAAAAGGGAGAGAGAGAAGGGAGAGGAAAGAGAAGAGAGAAAGAGAGGAAAGAGAAAGAGGAAAGAGAAAGAGAGGAAAGAGAAACAGGAAAAAAGAGAAGAAAGAGAGGAAAGAAAGAGAAAGAGAGAGAGGAAAGAGAGAAAGAGGGAGAGGAATGGCGCTTCTCCAACCAGGCTGGGCAGAGTCGGCAGAGCGGCCTTCCTGCCCCCCCCTCCCCGGCCAGCTGGATGGGTGGTTGGGGGTCACCACAACATGAGGAACTGTATTAAAGTGTCGCGGCATTAGGAAGGTTGAGAACCACTGGTCTAAATTTTCCCATTTAGTTACATCATC